CTATGTAATTGTATATGTATATAGTTTCAAGAATCTTAATAAAGTACTAGTGTAACTGCTTAAGGTTAAAAAAAAAATTTATTTAGTAATAAATTATAAATTTTTTAAAATAATACATCTGTACTATAGTGCATCTCTTATATAATACAAATAAATACATCTAATTGATATATATAATTTATATAACAGATATATATTATGCTGTTATACAAGGTTATGTATTGTGTTATACAAGATTATATGTATTACACAAAGTTATGTAATTCAATTAAAAAACTGATATATGCTAATATGCTTACTCTAAAATATAATAAATACATAGTGCACCAAATTATAATTTTTATAAATTATTAATTTTATTTTTACAAAATTATTTGTATTTAAATATTTATATATATAGAAAAAATAAAATTTAAAATAAACAAAAATATCTAATAGCAACTCTTTCTAATGATCCTCTGCACCAATTTTTCCATATATACTAACCTATGAAAATTATATAGTTAGTATATTTATATATAACAAAACTTTGCCATATAGTGTTTAAGTTCAAGAGTTTTAGATTGCATGTGAGCTATATGAAAAAAAATTGAAAAAACAGCTTTTTGTGAGTTTGGCTCTCTGGTAGAAGTCTATAGAGTTATTGAAAAAGTAACTTTGGCTACAATCAAAGAAGTTTTTGTCAAGCTATATTTGAGCAGCAGTAAATATAAAAGCCTAATTGGATATGCTATTCTGTATTATATAAACTCCTATACTCATTACAGTTAGTATTCTAAAAAATTCCTTTTCTATTTTTTTCTAAGAAATTTTTATCAAAAAGTAGACAATCTAACTTATCTTCATTAAAATCAGCATTATTGATTCTTTTAAATCAGGATTGTTTATTAGTTCTATTCAGAAAGAACCTATGTTGCAAATAAAGCATGAGTACATGTGTCTTGAAAAAACACAACAATAAGACAAGATTAGAGATTTTTGACAAAAGATAAGATGATTGGTCAGAAATGTGACAAATATCAAAATATAAGATCTGGTGAAAAGTATGATGAGTTGTATATAAAGATGGATTCAGTGACAAGGAGTTGAGGCATTCAGCATATGGAAAATTCTCTACTAGTTCAGTTTTAGTTGAATTGTTTACCTTAGGATATAAGCTTTAGTATTAAATATGTCAATTAGATAGAGTTAAAGTAGATATTACTGTATTTAGTAACATATAATTTTTAGTAGACTGACATAGCCTTTATAATTAGCGACTGTTTGTCTGACCTTTGTCAGCAATCCCTTTTTTTTCATTTCTTGATATTTGTTTTTTTATATTTTTCTTTTATATACATTTTTTTTTAGTGCATTTACTCTTAACAAGAAAATTTTTTTTGATTATTTACTTTCCTATAAACAAATGATATTAGATTGGTTCTGTTCAATTGTAGGGCAGCAAACAGATGAGCTTAATCCAGATTTTAGCAGGTTTAGTGTAGCAGGTCACTCATAGGTACCAATTAAGATAACCACATGATGATGACATATGAAGTTAGATATAGTTCTATTTGTATATTGTCTGTACTAAACATTTATAAATAAACTTCTGACTGGTTGACTATCATGGCTGTCAAAGATAAAAAAAAAAAATTTAAAATAAATTTATTTTATTAAAGATTATAATTTTAGTTTATTAAATATAGTTATTTGTAGAAATATAATAACTTAAAAAGTTAGTAAAATTTACAAATTATATTTGTACTATAATAACTGTTTCTTAATAATTGGTTATATTTATGTATTTATAATCTTAGATACATTAAGACAGATTCTATTCATTATTAGAAACTTAGAATATTTATATAAAATATAATATTATATATATATAGAAATGTTTATTTAGTATTGTATAAGATTTTAGTACAAACTTATAATAAGATTACTGAATATAGAAAACTAAGAAACTAAAAAGACAAAATTATACTTAAAAATTCTTAAGTAAAGAACTAGTATAAACTTTTAATAATATTATTATACTAATAAAAACCTATAAATAACTTTTAAAAAGCTAAGTAAATAAACTAAATAATAAAGATGTATAAAGAAATATATAACTAATTAGACTATTAGATTTATTAGAAAAAAAGAATACAAAAGTATATTATATCAGACTATTTGAATTAATAGTTTAAGAAGTTTATTAGTTCTGAATAAAAGTGTTAGTAGAAGATAATGAAAAAAATATTATAAAGCTAAGTATTAGAATCTTAGTAAACTTTACAAGAATAAAAATAATATAATAATAACAGTTTAATCAAATACTTGTAACTGTAAATATTAATTTAATTATAGTATATTATATAAAACTAAGTTAACTGTATGTAAAATATAAAACTTTAATAAGATTTTGTCAAGGATAAAATAATTCTAAGAATAATAAAATGCCTTAAAAACTTTAAATAAGCTGTACTTTAAAGATATATTCATAATACAAGTTGAATTGCATATGCAAAAGGTTTAAATAGACAAGACCTGTAATTGGCTTGCAGGTATAGCATCTAGTGTAGAATCTGTATAATAATATGTATATAAGCAAACTACTTAAATTAGGCATTAAAAATGCATGTGTGATTAGCTATAACCTTCTATATAAGAAAAGTCCCTGAAGGCTTTGTGTGCATAAAAACTTGAATAAAAAATCACTTCATGAAAACAGAGGCTTTAATATTAAAAAAAAAAGTAATTATATATAATAAATATAAAAGTAAAACATAATTTTAAGCTTTTTTTATTAATTTTTTTAATTATATATAATGAGCTTTGGTTAAATTTATAAATGCTTTAATTGTCACAATTATGGTTAAATTTGATATTCGTAATTTGCATGATTTTTCAAGCAGAATAATACATACATACTTTCTTGCTTTGTATTTATTTAATTTATACTGGTCTGTATGCAACATCAATTGTAAAAAACCAATTCATAACCATCAAGTAATAAATGCTTATAATTTATTATAAAATATTATATGACTGATCTTGCTAAGACCATTTAGTATGTGTATACAAACACTTCATGTCAGCATAGTAATGACAGCAAAAGGTCTTTTTTTTTAGCATGCAATTGCAAACAAACGATACTAGTTATGAGATGAATTCTATCTAGAAAATCTAGATTTTTGACTTTTTAATGATTACTAACCAGATTAAATCAGAACCTCAAATCTAATTTTATTTTGTTGACATTATGTCGATATCAATTTTAGTAATTTTTGTCATAGTTATTATCTTGAACTTATATAATATCTTGGACATAATTTTGTTTGTCCATGGACATGGACTGTCCATGTCCAATAGATGCCTATACCCATGTTCATTGACATCACTGCGTATAACAATTGATAAAAAAAAAACAAATAGAATAATATAATTTTTATATTTAATATTAGATTCGATTCTTAGATTCCTGTGTGTAATGTGTGATGCTTGATCACAGTACAGTAATTTGACAAAAAATAGTAATTAAAATTATAAAAATAAATATAAAATTTAATATGTATTCAGTTTATTTTTTACTGATAATTAACAAGCAAATTATATATAGGTACGATATGTATGAAGATAATGAAATATAAAAAAAAATTTAAACATTTCAAAATAATCCTAATACAGTCTACTCTTAATATAATGGACCTTTTTACTTTATAACGAATTTTACTCTAACGAACTTTTTTTTTAAAAAATAAATTTTTTTATTATTATTATAAAGTTCGATATAGAAACATCATAAGGAACTTTTTGCTATAAGAATCGTTAGTTTGTTACAGAGTTGATTTTTAAAAGGTCCATTAAATTTTATTAGGAATGTTAGGCACTACACCAATTTTATCCCATTTTAAACAATCCCGATCAGTTTCATTCAATTCTCTGATCATACCATCTGGATTAATTCTCATTGCAATAAATGAGGGAGAAACAGAAATAGAAGAGGATACTTCCTCTTCTTTAATAAGATCAATCATTGAAGTATTATTGTCGTCAATTGAAACAGCACGTTTTATAAAATCACAACAACGTTCTAATGCTATTTGAGAAGGTTTACAAAAAGGGATTAACTGTATACATAATTGATTATTCATACATATAAAATTAATAATAAATTTTAAAAGTATTTACGACAAAAAAAACAAACAAAAAATCCAATATACTTACGTGCCAGGCATGAGGCATATCATCATAGACTTCAAGTATAACTTTAGTAGGTTTCTTAAAAGACGACATTTCAAAATTTTTAGTTGCATATAAAGGTAATTTATATTCATGAGGACTTGCAGCTTTATGACTAATCAGGATAGATTCGTCACGAAATCTTTCATCACCTCCAACTTGCTAAAATTCATTTCGCATATTAAATATATTATTAAAGCCATAAATCAAAAAAATAACATTAAAAAGAAATAACTTACACATAATATAGGTGGTAAATTCCCTAAAGACTCTGCAAGCATGGGACTAGAAATCAAAATATAACAAAAATAAATACTAATACTCAATTATAAGTACTATATTTCTAAAGTAAGATAGGAGTACTTGCGTAACATAAGGGATTGCCAACGCTTCATTAGGACAATAAAGATTAAAACGAGGTAATGCCGTAAAAGAAGGATGACCAACAATAGTAGGTTTTTTTAGAGCGATTTTATCAGCTAGTACTTTTGCATTGGTATGATATTCGTCCATGATAGGCGATGAAGGATAATTTGTAAAAAGGCCTAGATTTGAGGGTATATAGTCTGTTTTATCCATTTCGGCATCCATAAATGATGGCATACTATGAGTTAAATCAACCTGTTTTGAGAGAAACCATATTAGTTTACCATTGAATTAAATTTAAAATTGAATTTCGAAATACATACCCATGGAGACTTTGAATATCATGTAAAATAATAAATGGATGTTAAATATGAATGGTGAGATAAGATAAAAAAAATCATATATTTACTCAAATGCTTACCAATGGAATTGCACCCGCTGGTAAAGGTAATCCAGCATCCCTTAAAGCTAAGAGCACAGAAAAAACTAAATTGCCACCTGCACTCTCACCAGCTAATACAATTCTTTTAGGGTTGATCGGTTCAAATCCAGCATTTGGACCGGGATTTGTAAGATATAGATACGCAGCGAGGGCATCACAAAGAGCGGCAGGAAATTGGCTTTTTGGCGAAAGACGATAATCAAGTGCTGAACCAATAATTTATCATAAGAAATTATCATAAGAAATTGTTAAAAGAATTGTTATAAGAAATTGTTCAAAGAATTGTCATAAGAAATTGTTAAAATAATTGATATAGGAAATTGTTAAAAGAATTGTTATAAGAAATTGGTAAAAGAATTGTTATAAGGAATTGGTAAAAGAATTGTTATAAGGAATTGTTAAAAGAATTGTTATGAATTGTTAAAAGAATTGTTATAAGGAATTGTTATAAAGAATTGTTAAAAGAATTGTTATAAGAAATTGTCATAAGAAATTGTTATAAGAATTGTTATAAGAATTGTTATAAGAAACTGTTTGACCGAAAAACTTACCAAAAATTCGAGAATCAGCAAGCTCAACAAATTTTCGTGTAACTATTCTAGTACATTTAGGTGAGCCGACACAAAATCCACCACCATGCAAATATAAAATCACATTATCAGTTTCACTGGATTTTTCATTAATATACATCCATTCCCCATGCAATCCTTCATCATTTGGATCTTTCCATCTCTCGTCTAATACATCATCATATTGCTTCAAAATCTTTTCTAAATGCGTTTTACTCTTTTGTCTATATTCCTCATCTAATAAAACTTCTTTTATAGTTAGATTAGGAGGAATTTTAGCTTCAAACTGTTTTTCAAATTCCTTTTGAGCTTGTTCAATAGACTTTAATGGTAAGCTCATATTGTGTTGAATCATTGCTATTAACAAATGAAATTTTAGATCCCATGATTTTCTAGGTGGACCTTTAGTATAATGTTCTAATGCAGTTGAAAATATGGTCGGAATAGACGAAAAGAAAGACATCTTGGTTTTTTTTTTTTTTTAGCAAAGAAAGATTTAATGGGGAAATTTATGCCCTATTTATTAAAGCGTTCATTACCGTTACCGTTACTGTATGCTAATATCAGACGCCCGATTTGTCACGCAGATCACAGGGGTAAATTTTTTTTTACTATGAAATTTGAGTGATCGACATGCATATGATGGGCTCATTTTTCATAGTATAGTCAAACCTTTCTATAATCACACCCCTTGGAATAAAACATTTGTGTGCTTATAAAAAGATTTTTACTATAAAGAGGTTTTTTTTAATATATTTATATATAATTGTTTTTAAATAATGTGCTTATAAAGAGGTTTTTTATATGATGTGCTTATAACGAGTGTGACTATAGAGGGGTCTGACTGTAAATTGCAACGGTAGGCCCTTTTGGATGCTGTTTTCAGGGATTTCTTAAAAAGAAACCATGTTCATGAACATAAAGTGCCATAGTCTAATAATACATGTACTTTTTGGTTAAAATGATTTATGTAATAAATTTGAAAGGAATGCGGTCCTTGAAGTTGGGTTTTCGGTTCATTTTGTTATACATAGTATTCGCTTATTTGGTTTTTATAAACTCACCAAGCTCGTTTAAAAACTACAAACTACTAGAACTTTTAGAAAAGGTTACAAGCTACGATCACAAGGTACAGTTTTAATTTAAACAAAGCTTGACAAGGTTTAGAAATCATTCCATTAGAAAGTATTTTAAACTATTTGAACTTGATGGGTTAAAACTGAATCTATTACTAAAAGAAACAATTTATTAAATTCGAACAGGTTAAATCAGACTTTATTATGGATGACGTTAATTTTGTATTTTAATTTTTAATAATAACTTAAATGCATCAATTGATAAATGGACTTTGTGCCAGGAAAAGGAATGAAATTGACAAAAAAAAATCCCGTACAAAAAATTAATTATCACATGAACGAATTGGATGGTACCAAAATTATGTGATTCTGATCAATGGCGTCCCTTTTCTCGACACCAACCCAAATAATCTTAAATAATGCATAATCAATAGTGCAATGACGAAAGTGAATAGCTTGAATATTGGGATTGGTGCTGGAAAAAGGAACGAAATCGACAAAAAAAAAAAGGATCTTCGGAAAATCAATAAATTTTATAATAAATCATAAGAAAATGTGAACTTTAAAGAGTTATACTGCAAAATTTATTAAAATAATTACCTTTGTGTCTTAAGTAAAAAATGATCCTAGACTTATTTTAAATTAATTTATATAAAAAAGTTCTTTCCTTTTTCCATATGAATTAATGGGCGATCTACATACTGCAAAACAGTTTTCCTTGATTTTCTTCATTACTTTAATAATGTATCAACCTTCCAAGAATTGATTTTGTCAAAAACTCTTGTTCAGACGCGTCTAATAAAACACTTTTTAGACAGTGAATTTGCAAACCTGAAAGAATGTGGCGAAAATAGACAAAATAATGACTTATGTTCAAGAGTATGTTATTTTATAAGGAGAAGTTCGTTTCTTATGTTTTTGATACCTTTTAGCTTAGAAACTTCAGCAATAATTTTGTAATTTCGTTGATTTGTGTAATTTATGGAAATCATATGATGTGACAAATCGGGAGGAAAGAACTTTTCTTTTACAAATCGTACATAGGTAGTGATGGGCCACGCGGGATTTTTAATGAGGTTATCTGGCCTGTATTAGATTATCATCTGGCCTGCATTAAACATTAATGGGCAAATTTCTAATTAGTAACAGTAATTGTTGATATACATAAAATTAATGAGTATGCATTTCTACGTAGAACTTTTATTTGTTTATCATTCTATATATATATGTGTATACTTGATTTAAACTTTTTTTGCCATTGGTAGTTTTTACTTACTATTCCTTATATAATCATTAAGTTATTCTTTAAACAACGTTATTATAACATGGATGTTAATAACCCAATTTGACGTCATTTTAAAAAACTTGAACCAAACCTAGATTATAAACAAGGGTGTGCTAAATGGAATTATTGTGTTCATATATGCAATGAATCAATTATAAGATGTGAAGAACATTTAAAAGTATGTGATTATGTTAGTTTGAATATTAAACAAAAAAATTTTGAACCTACATTTCAAGAACCAAAAAAAAAAATTCAACAATTAATATAAACAGACAAAGAACTTCAAATATTCAAAATTTTCTTGATAGAATCTCTCAAGCAGAACAAGATGATATTGTTTTAACAAGAAATTATATTTCTAGAATAATCTTTATATATATTTTTATAATTCATGAAAAATTAAAAAAACTCTACTATATTCCACAGATCCCGCGCGGGATTCCCATCACTATACATAGGTCACACACCTATAACACTGGAAATAAATATTTGCGAATTCCATTAAATTAAATAAAAATGATTTAGACATTCTTAACTTTAACACCCCGTTTTTTGGGGTTGATTTTATCATATGTACACCTAACCCTAATTTAACTAGGAAATTCCAAATTCCTACAACATACACATGCAAATGGGGTCTGTTCTAACTATATATATTCACATAAAGAATTCTGAAATTTCATAATCAGACTAAATTCAGGACAAATAAGGGCTTCATAATTAATAAATAGGTGACACATTTGAAAATAAGTAGGACTTTTTTAATAGTATTTTTACTATGTTGAATTATAAATCGGAAAAATAAAATGAGATTAGCTTTTTGAGTTTCTTATTACGACTGATTATTACTTGTTATACTAGAGATGGGCAAGGTAATTACTTATTACGTAAAGAATCAAATCACATTATGCGACAATTTACTAATAATATATATAACATGCTAAATTGGCGCATAATGTGATTTAAACTTTTACGTAATAAGTAATTACCTTGCCCATCTCTACTTGTTACGATTCACAAATACGATCGGAATAGTATAACGATAATTCTGAACTTAAAATTGAAGATCAGATTACACATTTTACAAAGAATTATTATAACCTGCACCATTGGTTAGAAATAACCACCCTTATTAAAACTTAAGGTTAGGGTGCAGCTTTAAAATAAATAGAAGGTTTTATATAAAATATTTTTTTAAATAACATAATATAGATCGGGTATCAGGTCCCGATCTTAGTTCTCGTGAGGTTTTTAGGGTGCTGAACATTTTTACTTAGTATACCCGACTACTGTTTCATAGTGCAGTTTTCGAAATATAGCATAGTGGTTATACAAGTTAAAAATATCCTTTTACAAATAACAACTATTATTTACAAAAAGACATACCGATATGTAATGTTAAGTATTACCGCATTAATGCATGTCTAAACCTATATCCAAAATCAACAATATCCTCAAAAGTTAACATCCTAAAAAAGTATTAGTAAAATTGTTTTGCATAAAGATGTAAGCAAAGATTAGAGTATTATGTAATAGAAATGTCACACTGTCTAAACATTGTTGGAAAAGTAATGACCTTTTTTATACGTAATTTTAAATTTTTGCGAATATAGTACGAACATAATAGAACGCATAAAGTATTTACTAATCTTCATTCTGCATTCTATTTTTCTTTTCTAGTTAAATGAATTCATTGGACTCAATGAATCTAATATGCTTCTTGAACACATTAAAATTTTCACAGGCAATTCTAAGAATCGTTCCATAATTTATACCGATGTTATGAATATAGTGACAAAATTGATTTTAGTCATCAATAAGAGCTTGTAAATAGCTAATTTTGGTTTGTTTTTTTTTGACAAATTATGTCAAGTGAATTATAAATTCTTAACTTAAATTTTCATGTTTGTTAATGTTTTACTTTACTAAAATTATTGTAATTGTAATATCTCATTCTTTAAAAAATGACATTGATCCCTTTAACTGGATAATTGTATCGCGTTGTTGATTTTCTTGAAACACATGAATTCATTTCAAGCATCTAATTTTTTTTTAAATATTAATATTCTCAATTATCACGTTTTTCAAAGTGATTTTGGGTTCTAATTCTAGACCGGTATAAGCATTCGTTAAAGTGAGATAAGTAAATTTAATATATCTAATATTTTGTTGTGTTCTAATTTATATTGTAGCTTTAACTTGCAAAATGGCGAAGTAACAGTTTACAATATTAAAATATGGGCCTGTAATGAACTTGGCATCTTTTTTGCAAAAGGAAACTTTTAATTTTGCATAAATTAATGTAAAACATAGCGATAGTGAATATGTAATTATCCGGACTATTATCCGGACCTAACCTGGTACAACTCATACAGGGGTCTCCAAAATTCTAGGTCGGAATACCTCGAGTCATAAAAGTTTTACCAAAAGATCCGGTTCATCCCAGTCCTAGTGAGACTGTTATCATAGTATTTTCGGTTCTTGGTCTTGGTCTGTACACGGTCCTTTAATAAATAAATCTGATTGGTCATCAATGACATAATTACTTACTGTTAGATGTAAATTACTGGGAAAAGAAACGTTCAATGTTACACGAATGTTTATGTATTTTTACATGATAATTGGTCAATCAAATCATAAGTTTTAAAAGAATAAAAAAAATACAAAACAAAGCAAAATTAATGTTATAAACGAATTTAATTATTTATTTTGTCATCAAGTAAGCAAATATTGTATATCTTTATTTCATTTATTAATTAAATAATAAACAAACTTTAAATCATTACAATATATAAAACCAATAATTAACATCTAATTCTATATCAAATATAATTCAAATTCTGATGTATATGCACATATTATATACAGTAGAAGGACATATTATATACAGTAGAAGGACATATTATTGAAGATATTTTTTAAAAATTTGTACAAAGTCAAATATATAAGATATAAAGCTAAAAATTAAAATAGAAATTCTTTAAAATTATATTTTTTAAATAAAAAAATATTAAAAAATTCTATGCATTACTTTTTTTTAAAAAATAAGGTTTTGTCTTTATTTTTATTATAATTTGTATTAAGAATTCACAAAAGATTTCT